ATATATATATATATATATATATATATATATAATAAAAGAAAAATAAACTAAATTTCAAATACACTAAAAACAAAGACTTAAAAATCAAGTCCTTTCTGGAATTAGTCTTTGCAAACCTAATCAAGACACAATAAAATCCTAAAGAATAAAGAAATGTTTAAATTACAAGGTGTTTTACCATAGAATAATTTACTTTTGTGTGTGTGTGTGAAATATCTTAAGTTGAAATTTGTATTTTCTTCTCTATAATGGTCAAACCTGTCTATGGATGTTGACGCAACAGGAACATTTAAAGCACATAACATAAACACACAAATAATTTGTATGGTTTTAAAAATTGAAGATAAATCATGCAATTGATTATTTTTCTTACACAAAAATTGTGAAAATTCTCTTTAGGAATGGAATATAAACAAGTATGGTAAAAAAAATATTAAACTATGCAAATATTGATGGAAGCTTATCACACTTACCAATTCTAGAACACTGTCAATGGCTGAATTGTACTTGTCACACATCTTTTTCATACTCTCAAAACTGTAATGAGATGTTGAAAAGTTTTAACTGTATGTTCATTAACTCTTCCAAATGGACAAAATCAGGCTTTATACTGCTTAATATTACGAGAAAACAATTTGGAACACTTTCCATAGATGTGTTTATACATCTATGCAACAATGGGAATTTTTCATAATATAAACATTAGCCAACCTTAATCTGGAAGTGACAGACTAAAAGGAAGGCAGTTAATCAACACTACTTATTAACAAAAAGTGGGACTGACCATTACATTATCACATTCCCACAGGTGAAAAGGATGAATATGTTCAGTGAAGGGATTTGAACCCACAACCTACAGATTACAGTGAATGACCCTAATTAGTGTGTTCACATTTCATGGTCAATGATCTTAGTCTGTTCACATTTCATGGTCAATGACCTTAGTCTGTTCACATTTCATGGTCAATGATGTTAGTCTGTTCACATTTCATGGTCAATGATCTTAGTCTGTTCATAATAATAATACTATAATACTGCCAAACACGTTATAAATCGCTCAGCGAACAGGTAACTCATGTTACCCTATTGAATTACTTAACACACGGGCTACTTGCGAGTATATCTCATGAATTCTTTAATGATTTTCTTCATTTCACCAAACATAACCTTATCTAACCTAATAAGTTTCTAATGCTTACGTTTTAATTACTTTTATAATAATGAATAAAGAATACACATGAAAAACAGGAAATACAGTACTTACTTGGGTCTTCTTTTGTTTTTGCTATTGACTGTCGATGAAACTTAACCATACTTTTTTATAATAATGGTACTACTTGCACTAAATAATTCTTTAGTTAATTATATGATGCATCTAAGAACACAGAATAATAACATGTAAAAAGCAGACAATGTCTTATAACCATCATACTTTTTCTGGCTTTCCAACTATGCAGTAAGAGCTATTAAAAATTCAGCTAAGCTGATCAATGTGTTTTCCATGGGAATAAAGTTTGAATTGGAAGGGAAATAGACAATTCTTTGTACAGAAAACAACAAAATAAAAGAAATCATTTGATAGAGACAAAAAGAGTCTGATTTTTTTAGTTTATGGTTCCTTAACCAAATAATATTGAAGGCTATAAAAATTATGCTTTACCCGAGTAATAACTATATTATGAATAATTTACATTAAATTCCATACTTCTTGGAGGGGTGGTAAATAAATTAGAGAAGAGGAGATACCTGGAGAGCAAATATCACAATTATCATACGAGAGGACACTGAGTATTGTTTTTACTATTTTCTCAGAATATTTAAAAACTTTAAGCTTGTATAATATTAACTAAACAAAATTGAAGCCTATAAAAAATTATGGTTTGTCTGTGCAACGACAATTTTTATAATCAGTAATTTACATTTAATTTTGAACTTACTGGAGGGGTGGTGGATAAAATAAAGAGAAGATGTATAGAGGAAATGTGTCAAGTGTCACACTAGGAGAAATTCAGTTTTTTTATATTGCTGTAT